TGGAGGAAAAGATCCCCCCCAAAAAAATCCCGGGATTAAAGTCAGGGCGTTGCCAAAGAAACGGGTGGTAACACGGGAAAACACGAGATAACCAAAAAAACACAAAATAACCCCCAAAAAACACGAGATAACCCCAAAAACACAACCCCAAAACCACGAAATTACCCAGAGAAACTTAAAAATATCCATGGTAACCCCGAAAAACACGAGATAAGCCAAAAAAATACGAGATAAGCCCAAAAACACAACCCCAAAAACACGAGATAACCCCAAAAACACAAAATAACCCCAAAAACACAACCCCAAAAACACGAAATAACCCCAAAAACACGAAATAACCCCCAAAACACAAAATAACCCCCAAAACACAAAATAACCCCAAAAACACGAGATAACCCCAAAACCACGAAATAACCCAAAAAACACAAAATAACCCCCAAAAAATCCGGAATAACCCCAAAAACACGAAATAACCCCAAAAACACAAAATAACCCCAAAAAATCCGGAATAACCCCAAAAACACGAGATAACCCCAAAAACACGAAATAACCCCCCAAAAAATCCGGAATAAGCCAGAGAAACCTAAAAAAAAATCCATGGTAACCGCGAAAAATGGAGTGGGACCCGAAAAAACCAAAAAATCCCATAATAACCCATAACATCCCATAATAACCCCATAACATCCCATAATAACCCATAACATCCCATAATAACCCCCAAAAATCCCATAATAACCCTAAAAATCCCAGCTGGGACACACCTGTACACACCTGTACACACCTGTACACACCTGAGCACACCCCTGACACACCTGGAACACACCCGGGCACACCTGGGACACACCTGGGACACACCTGTACACACCCGTGACACACCTGAGCACACCTGTACACACCTGAGCACACCTGGGCACACCTGTGACACACCCGGGCACACCTGTACACACCTGTACACACCCGAGCACACCTGTGACACACCTGTGACACACCTGGGACACACCTGTGACACACCTGGGACACACCTGTACACACCTGTACACACCTGGGACACACCTGAGCACACCTGTGACACACCTGGGCACACCTGTACACACCCGAGCACACCTGGGACACACCTGAGCACACCCGAGCACACCTGTACACACCTGGACACACCTGGGCACACCTGTGACACACCCGGGCACACCTGGGACACACCTGGGACACACCCGAGCACACCCGAGCACACCCGAGCACACCTGGGACACACCTGTACACACCTTTGACACACCTGGGACACACCTGAGCACACCCGTGACACACCTGGGACACACCTGGGACACACCCGAGCACACCTGAGCACACCTGTACACACCTGTACACACCTGGGACACACCTGGGACACACCTGTACACACCCGAGCACACCTGTACACACCTGAGCACACCCCTGACACACCTGGAACACACCCGGGCACACCTGGGACACACCTGAGCACACCTGTAACACCTGCACACACCCGAGCACACCTGTACACACCTGTACACACCTGTAACACCTGTACACACCTGTAACACCTGTACACACCTGAGTAGCCGGTGAGGTCCATGGCGCGCAGGTTGGAGGCGCGGATCACGGTGACCGTGAGGCGGCCGGCAGTGGGCAGGTAACAGAGAGAGAAATTCACCTCACCCAGGTCAGCCTTCTCCTACGGACAGGTGAGACAGGTGAGACAGGTGAGGGACAGGTGAGGGACAGGTGAGGGACAGGTGAGACAGGTGAGGGACAGGTGAGGGACAGGTGAGACACGTGAGACACGTGAGACAGGTGAGAGACAGGGACAGGTGAGACAGGTGAGGGGCAAGAATGGGACAGGTGAGCACAGGTAAGAGACAGGGACAGGTGAGGGACAGGCACAAGTGAGCACAGGGACAGGTAAGGGACAAGAACAGGTCAGGGACAGGTGAGAGGACACAGGTGAGGGGGGACAGGGACGGGTGCTACTGGTGCCACACAGGTGCCACACAGGTGACACAGGTGCCACACAGGTGACACAGGTGACACACAGGTGACAGTGACAAAGGTGACACACACAGGTGACACACACAGGTGACACACACAGGTGACACAGGTTACACAGGTGACACGCAGGTGACACACAGGTGACACAGGTGACACACACAGTGACACACAGGTCACGTGTGGTCACCACCCCCAGGACATTCTCCATGATTACCTGTGCCCTCACCTGTCCTGTGTGCCCTCACCTGTCCCTGTGCCCTCACCTGTCCCTGTGCCCCTCACCTGTCCCTGTGCCCTCACCTGTCCCTGTGCCCTCACCTGTCCCTGTGCCCCTCACCTGTCCCTGTGCCCTCACCTGTCCCTGTGCCCTCACCTGTCCTGGACCCTTTCTGGGGGTTTTTTTGGGATCTTTTTGGGTTTCCCCAATTTGGGGTTCACTCACCCCCGTCCCCTCCTGGATGTCCCTCCAGGTGTCACCTGTGGCCACCTCTCAACCACCTCCAGAATGTTCTCCAGCCTCACCTGTGCCCTCACCTGTCCCTGTGTCCCTCACCTGTCCTGGACCCTTTTTGGGGTTTTTTTTGGGGATCTTTTTGGGGTTTCCCAATTTGGGGTTCACTCACCCCCGTCCCCTCCTGGATGTCCCTCCAGATGGGCACCTCGGGCCTGGCCTCGGCCACCTCCAGCAGGTTGTCCATGACCACCTGTCCGATCAGGTCGTGTCGCGAGAATCGATCGAAGTCGTAGACGCTGAAGTGGAGGCGGCGCGCGGGGAGCTCGGCGAAGGGAACCCCGAAACTGAAAGTCTCGTCCCACTCGGGGTTCAGAGTCCTCCTCAACACCTTGGTCTGGAATTTCTTCTTGCGGTCAGGTAACAGGTAAATCTTCACGTAGGGATCCGAGAAACCGTTCGAGTCCTTGGCGGGGAGGTCGCGGGCGCGCAGGACGCGCACCTGGAGCTGCTGGGAGCCGTAGCAGTAACGCACGGACACGCCCAGGCGGCCGCACGGAGAGCCCGGGACTCCCCCGGGGCTACCGGAGACTCCACCTGGGCCAGCGGCCACGCACGAGCCCAGGTGAGAGTCCGCAGAGTCGTAGAGTTCCGGTTGGATTTGACCCAGGTGAGACGGGGGAGGCTCCTCCGGGACGGGGGGGAGGGGGGAGCTGGGG